GAGGGGAGGGGAGGGGAGGGGAGGGGAGTCATGGGTTTAGTGTCTCCAGAGTCTGCAGTAGGAAGACATGCCAGCAGAGAGAGGTCAGGATGAACAGTGAGTTCCAGGACAGCTTATTTGTTACAAGCCCTAAGCAGAAGCCAGAGGAAACCAGATCTAAGCCTGCTTTGGTCACTAATTTGCTGTATGAAGTAAGAAAAGCATTATGACCTTAATGGTTGTTAGTCTCAGAGACCAAGTTAACCTGGTTGATAGCCAAGTTTCTTTCTGATCCTGGATTACAATAGCTGTTATTGATTCATTAAATTTTTCTTAAATATATTTGTTTTAAAAGCATTATATGTAAGGATTTTCATTAATGCACAGTAAAAAATAATAAGACTTTCAAAGAACCCTAGTTATCATTTTCTCTCTCAGTATTGTCAACCTTCCACACTAATAGTGCTGACTTGTGTAATCAATATGTAAAACTGACACCCAAGGCTGGGTCACAAACATTTTGTTTCTATCTTTTTATGTTGTGACTTTGTTTTGAGATAGAATCTTTCTATATAGCCCAGAGTCGAGTTGAACTCACTATGTAACCCAAGATAGCTTCAAATTCATATCCTCCTGTCTTTACTTTGAAAGTATTGGGATAATAGGCATCTACCACCATAACTAGCTACAGCTTCTGTTTTTGCTTCATCAGATTACTTACACCCATGAAGCCAGCTGTTGTGTCAAGGACATGCACAAAGGGAGGTCTACATGATGAGAACTGAGGTCTCATGCCAGGAGCAAAATACCAAACTGCAAGCCACACAATGCCACCTCAGAGGTGAGTATTTTAGATTTATCTCTAGTCAAATCTCATATTAGGTATTAGACTTCCTTTACTGTAACAAAACACCTGACACAGTTGCCTTAAAAAGTAGAAAGGTTTATTTCCTCACAGTTTGAGAGGATCCAATAAGTTGCCTAGTCATGGTAAAGCCTATGGTGAGGCATTGTACCATGGAAGTAACCCAAGACAGAGAAAACTTTCGGCTCACAGTAGCCAGGAAATGATAGAGAGGAAGAGAGACTAGTGTCTCAATACTCCTTACAAAGCCACACCCTTAATAATCTAACTTCCTCCCGCTGAGCTGAAACTCCTAAAGAATGTATTGCTTCCCATTGTTGCCTTTGATACATGGTCATTTCATATGAAACTCTGACGCAAAGCCACACACATCACCCAGGCTTGGATTTCTGGCTCACAGAAACTGCATGTGATTATAAATAGTTAATGTGCTCTTGACTAAGTTCTAGGAAAAAAAAAAATGTTATGCTGGATCAGGAAACTCACATTTCTCAGCATGCAAAACAGCATGAGGATTCCAATTGCTTATCCTCTGATCCACAGCTGTGAGTCTTTGAGACTGGATCTATACATATCAGAAGTCCTCGAAAGGTGCATAAATCAGAATTATAACGAAGCATTTCTGAGAATTAAAAAAAAAAACGTGATAATGAGCTGACATGTATTGCTCATGTACTAAACAGTGCATGTTTTCTTGTGCAGAGTCCAAAGTCACTTGGCCTGGTTGCCAATAGGCCTGCTGTCAGAGGGTACAATATGTTTATCACAAGGCAAATATATGCTCGGAAAATAACACAAACGTAAACCTAATGTGTAACGTGAGTCCACTAGGGTCTGGTTGAAGGGATAGGGCTGACCTGATACATAACAAGCATTCATATATGTTCATGAAGTTTCCTGCTCATAGATAACTTTGGGGCTCTATTCTAAAAGTTGAAGATTTTATGCTAATTTCTTACATTTTATTGTTAGCTTAAAATTTCCCTTAAAGAAGAATGCTTTAAGAAAACTCATCGTTAAGCACAGTGTTGAAGACTTGGTCCCCGGTTCAGCCGAATTCACAGGTGGGATGTTTGGGAAGTGACTGGACCCTCAGAGTGTTGACCTTCTGAATGCCGTCATTCATTTATGGATTCGTAACACAGCAGTATGTTGTTCCTGGAGGTGGAAGCGCTTCTACAAAGGGCCTATTTAGAAGAAGTAGGTCATTGTGGGTGTGTCCTTGACCTGAGCTCGTTCCTGTCATTTTCTTTGCTTCCTGTCTGCCACGGATGGATTGGATGATGTTTCTCCACCACACCCTCCTGCCATGATGTATTTATTGTACTCTCTGACCACAGGCCTACTGGCAACCAGGCCAAGTGGCCATAGACTGAAACCACAAGCCAAGGCAAACCTAACACATTCTTTCTCATTAACTCTTATTAGTGTTCTTTTCCGGCTCCTGCATCCCTGTGCGTGTAAGAACACAGTTGCTTACAGAGTAGTAGTCTTCCACTTACTGTGAAAAATGAGAGGGCATAAATTTTGGAGAATATATTAAGTAGAAGTCTGGATTGTAAGTTTCATAAACCTAATAAGAATCAGGTTTAGTGAAAAGATGAATTTACTGGATGGTCATTACAGCTTGCTGGAATTCAAGTCAGAGCCAAGTTCAGATGCAGCTGAGCTCTCAGGCACAGAGGGAGCCTAGAGCTGGAGAGCCACCAGCTAGCTCTCTGTCTCCCAGACTGGCCTCTGCATATCTGGGTGCTAGTCTTGTCTTGTGGCTGACTGCCTTTCTTCTGGGTGGGAACATGGTTGTTGGCAGTTCCTGTGATTTATGTTTTTAGTTGAAGTCATTAGAGACCTTCTCTTCGCTCTCAAATATTGGTTGCCAGTGAACTCTAATCAGGGGAGGGTGACACGTTGTTCAACATGGCTGCTTCTTCAGAAGTTGAGGAGGGAGGATGAAAAGTGGGTGGATCGGGAAGATAGACCAAGTTGTTCCACGCATTAGGTTCCCAGGGCTGACTTCATAAAGTACCACAAATTGGCAGTTTAAATGTTGGAAATGCATTATCTCATGGTTCTTGGAGCTGAATGTTCAAGATCAAGGTGTTGGCAGAACTCCTGCCGAAGGCTGAGCCTGTCCCCAGCTTTTCTCCTGATTTCTAGTAGTTTGATAGCAACGTGTAGCTATCCTTGGCTAGGAGAAGCATCGCCCACATTTCACCTTCATCTTTCCATCCCATTTTTTTCCCAGTCTATGTCTACATTCCCCCCTTATATAAAGATATCACATTAGCCGTTTTAGAGTAAGGACCCACCAAAGTATGATCTCATCTTAAATGAACTGATTATGTTAACAACACTCTACTCTCAAATAAGGTCACATTCTGAGATTCAGGAAGCCAAGGGGGGTGGGGATAATCATGTAAATTGTGAGGAGGGGGCACTCTATTCGTCCTCTATCTTTTGTATAGGGGAAGTGCTTTGTGTACAGTATGACTGAGTTCAAAGAAGGGAAGCAAAAACCAAGGACAAGATTTTCAAAACTTGAATTATGACTCTCTGCACGCTACACCACAGTTTCTTTTCCAAGAAAGAAAACTAACTCACAAGCCCAAATTTAGCAAAGTAAGTGGGGATTTTTCTTTTTCTTTTTTTTTTTAAGGTAGGGGAGGTGAGGAGTTATAAGACACAGAGTGATACACAGGATACACAGAATACATCCTGGCTTTGATGGGTAACGCGATGCAGCCGCCTGCAAGCGCGGTCCCACTTGTTTTCCTTCAGCTCACATCCCACGCAACCCTCCTTTCGAAGGTCTCTTACTTGCCTAAGGCT